AGTAGGATCCATCACGACTCCCGATGGTGGAAAATCCGGGTCGTGACAATAAAAGTGTATAATATTGTATAAAAATGTATAAGCATCTTTGACAAACTTTTCGTACGATTTTCACTTGCAATTCTTGATTAAAACTATTCCAAATCTCCATTAAATGACTTCAAACTTTGTATACAGTCTACTTAGACTAATTATAATAAGTTCAAACAATATCCACTCCAAATTTCTCACAAAATCATATTCAAAATCTAACAAGATTAGCATTAAATAAGATGAGATTTTAGATTTCTCGCGTCTGTTTTTGAATTTTCGTAGTTGTGATAGGTGTGTAGAAACTTGAGGAAAAAGGAGAATGGAAATATTTCACGTTTGAAGATATAGAGCATAAAAACTTGAAAAAAATTCAGATCTAAGCTTATTGATATTTGGCTACACATTTTCAAACTTGTAAGTGGGCTAAAATAATGCAAGGTCAACTTATGGAGTGCATTATTATGTAATTTTGTCATAAAAAAACTTTTTTGTAGGGTGGGGGATGGTGTAGAAAAACGAAAAAACAGAAAAAATCACCAAAAAAATTAAAAAAAATTATTTTTTTTGCCGCGAGAGGGGGGGTGCAGGGTGGGTGATGACGGAAAAAAACTTACTATTAAAAAAAAACATTTTTGGAGAGATGTGATAAGGTGAATAAGCCTTTCCTAAAAATATTTTCCTTCGTATCAAACACACCGTAAATCTTTTTTTTTTTTAAATGTCCTCTTTGTCAAGTCTTTCTCATTCTCAATGTGATGTGAGTCAACTTAAAAAGAGATGAGACTCGTAATCCACTAAGTTACATTCCCCCGAGAAAACACTGAAGTAATTGTGGTATATTTGAGGTGTAACGGGTGGGGGGAGGTTAGGAAATAAATTTTTAAATAGCCCAAAATCTGAAGAGTGAAGACAAAAAATTATGGAGTCAAAGGCCATTAGATATTTGTGCTTCACCCTTTTGCTTATTTTCTAGTACGAAAAGTTATTCTACCCGTCGACTCAAGCCAACCAGCCACTACAATATAATGTGAGAGTTATTGATATTGGTGAGAGTTCTTCCCACATTAAATGTGAGTTTGATTTTGTATTCTCCTTCTTCTTTCAGGGTTGTAACACTGTAGACATAACAAAAGAATTTCATTTGTGCTTTAATTCTCTCTCATGTGTGATTGACTGAACCTCGAACTCGATTAGAATAGAATACGGCGATCTTATACAAAATTGCTCTAGCCAAGAACTATATTCATTACTATTCTCCGAAAATGTTTAAAACTTTTCATGATTCTCGATGCTCAAATTATATAAAGTTTGACTATTTTAAGTACATTTTTCACCATTTTGATTTGATGAAAATTACAATTAATAGTGCGTTTTGTGTAGTTTTGAAACATAGCTTTTATTTCATTGAAAATGTATTAATTAATTAAGCCATTAGCTCGAAAATTTGATTAAATTGACCAACAATAAGTGAAACGTGTCAAACAATTGGAACGGAACTCGTTTCTTGTAAAGCCATATATATGTTGTATTCGTTGTAACAAACAACGATATGTTCACACAACTTTCTCCTAATTTTCTTTTAACTGCATTAATAATTGAAAATGTTAAATAGACTTTGCCCTTATAAAATACATATATTCAATATCGATGCTAAAAATCGAACCAATTACAAAGTAAGGGCACTAGCATCATAAATGTGAAGTAGTAAAAAAAATAGAAATAAAAGTTGTAAAGATCTTACTGATGATCGTAACGGAGGAGCTTAGTCTGAATGTGAATCACTATGGATGATTCAAAACACATGCATTTCTTAAACGAACAGTTAGCTACACATACACTTTAGATACTAATAACGTATGACATTGGACGTTGGTAATTAATTAGTTTGGACCATGCATAAAGATTCCATCATTTACTTTTGATATGCCATTCTTGATATGGTTCAGTCCTAGATTAGGATTACACTTCAATTCTTGAATGCTACCATATAAGAACGGAAATCTTACAATGCTATATAATTGCACGTGCAACTTGTTCAAAAACATGCCTCGATCTATTGAAGTTTGTTGGACCAACATTTCCATTCTTCTCTTTGTATACTGCCAAAATCGAGGAATATGATTTTGGAGTCTTAAATCGGGCTATAGGCTCGAATCCGGGAGACTCGAGGCGTGAGACAAATTCTGCTAAGGGACACCTACCTCGAAGAAGCTGATTAAAGGCCCGACACGGCCTGCGTCGAGGACAACATAATCTCGAAGTCAATCAAGAAAGAGCGGAAATTTCTCAAGAACACATAGATTTGGGCATCAATTATAGGATAAGGGTTGCACAATTCACTAAAACATTATGCATCTATAGCTACGTAATCTTAGCTACGTAATCTTAGCTACGAATTTGAAATTTATAGCTAATACCTAATAATAGCCACAAAAAAACAGAATTTTGTGGCTATTTACAAAATTTTAAAATTTCCTTGCCACGAAAATTAAATTGGTAAAGCTAATTCCTCATATTAGCTATAATTGCTAACAATCGTGGCAATAACTACCTTAATAGCTACAAATTTATTGCTACAAATAAATTTTTGTAGCTAATCATAAGTTTTTGCCACACATCAATAATTATTGTAGCAATAGTAACATTTTAGCCATAATAAATTATTTGAAACAAAATATTGTAGCTAAATGAATATTTTTGCTTCAAGCTCAAAAAGTTGTGGCAGTAATTAAAAGATATAGCCACAGATTTATTGCTATAATTGAATTCCGTAGCTAATCATTAGTTTTTTGCTACGAGTTGAAACTTACTATAGCTGTAGTAACTTTTTAGCAACAATAAAATATTTAAAATAAAATATTATAACTAAATGAATATGTTTGCTTCAAGTTATAAAAAGTTGTGGCAGTATAGGTTGAATTAGCCACATATTTCTTGTAGCTAATCATTAGTTTTTGCCACGAGTTAAAACTTAATATAACAACAATAACCTTTTAGTCACAATAATTATTTAAATCAAAATGTTACAAATAAATAATTTTGCTTCAACTTCTAAAAAGCCATGGTAATAGTTGGCTTAATAGTTATAATTTTTTTATCAAAATAAAATAATATAACCACAAATTTATTGCTACGATAAAATTTTATAACTAATCATTAATTTTTTCCACAAGGTAAATTTTCCGTAACAATAGCAATCTTCTAGCATAAATATTTAAAACAAAATTTTATAGTCAAATAAATACTTATCTTCTTATTTTAAGAAAATAAAAATAGTTAGATAATAGTTACAACTGTTTGTCATGATAAAATTAATAGCTACAAATTTAAAGTGACGATAAATTTGCAAGTTAACTATAACTTTAGTCATATAGTTAGGATTGTCAATGCAATAATAGTATTTTAACCATAATAAGTTATATGTACAAAATTTCATAGATGAATTTTACTATTTCAGTGACCAAAAAGTACGACTTGTACAAACAATTATCAAGTTATGAAAATTCAATTTTAACTATAAAAGTTAGATATTTCCAAAATAACATAAAATATAGTAATTATATATAAATTGAAGTATTAATAAACTTTAAGTATGCAAAAGTTAATTTTAATATATCATTTATATGCCTACTTGTAGCCTCAAAACTTATCAATTTACTTTTTATTTATCAAACTCATATTTTATTTTATTGCAACTTGTTATTTTTGGACGCCAATTATATATATATATATATATATATATATATATTGGGTGCAAAATTCAAAATATATTAACATTTGTTGAGAATTTATGTATGTCTAGCACTTAACTATTTTTTTTATATAAGTAATTTATATTTAAGTATTTATTTTTAAATAAGTCTTCATATATTGAAGCCTTTAAGAGTTGTTTGATATATATATATATATAGTCCTTAAGTATTTTTAATAAGTACTTAGAATAATTTTATATGAGTATGGTGGTTTTGGTGCATTTAGTTTTGATAAATGGACAAAGCTCCAAATACATACAATAAACATATTTATCACTACAAAAAAGTTTATGATATTATAATTCATATTAATTTTTGTATAATCATGTTATAGATATTTCAAAGAATAACGAAGTTGATTGATACTTAAGTCCATAGGAAAACTAATTATATTATAATTCTTATTAAATATAATGGAATTATAGCTAATTCGTGTGGATGACTATTTTTATAGAATTTAAACNATATATATAGAGAGAGAGAGAGAGAGAGAGAGAGAGAGATAAATATACTTCCTTAATAAGTTTCTAATTGTCATTTTTAATTATACATTAAATATAAGAATTATTATGTTTCACATCAAAAAACAAAATATGGTTGATAACTTGATATAGGAGTGTATAACAAAACTAACTAGTATAACATATTTCATATTAAAAAAATATATTTATAATTTTCTATAAAATTTAAATTAGTATGTAATTAATTTTCATTAGATTTGAATAAGCAAAATCAAATGTTCACTGTACACTCAATTTAGATAAATAGAAATTTGTATATTTAATGGTCTAATACTATTTTAATTACTTAATAACTATCATAATCTAATTAAACACTAAAATTAAGAAGTTAATATAATTTAAATAGGAGTAAATTACAAAACTAACAATATCATATAGGAAGAAAAAAGTTGTAAGGAATATACTATATTATAGAATATCTTTATTTCATGCAAGTTGATTTTTCTATTTTACTTAGTGTAAATTATGTATTTAATTTTTTTCATTTTCCATAGATAATTTTCTTACTTATTGTATTTGTTAGTACTTATATTTCTCTTATTTATGGTATTTGTTAAGAAATAAAAGGAAGAAAATATATATTAACAAAAAGAAAATGAATATAAAGGCAATTGGCCCAAACCAAACTCCCCAAAATCTAATAAAATTATAAAAACTTCAATCTAAGTGTGCGTTCCTTTCCAGCCGCCAACCCCCTTGCTCCCTTTTCCCGTTTCCTTCTTTTACAACGCTTTCTGTCTTCACGTGAAAGGAGCAAATCAACGGAATCACTAGCTATATACCCCGATGCCTTTTCCCTATTCAGGTATGTTTATATATCTACATCTTAGGATTTCTCAATTTCCATACATCTACTTGAGTTGAATTTTTGAATTTATATTCTAACAATTTGATAGATATTGTATTGTAATAGTTAATGAGTGGAACCTTGAAGATTATAATGTAATGTTGGGAGGAGCCACAATTCGTCCAGAAGACATTTTGGGATAAAAATTCTTTCAAAAGTTTTTGAAAAAGCATACAGGTTTGTTTTCTTGTCTTGTTGCTTTGAATTTTTTCCTCTTGTTATATGCTAAAAATTCTTGTAAAAGAATTATCTACACATAATTTTTCTCTCTTTGAACGTTCTTCTGCTATTTTTACAAGTCAAACTTGCATCTTAGTATTAGTGTTTCTTTTGGTTCACTCATTCTTTTGTGCTAATTATTGTTTCTTTTGAACTTACAGCGTACATTTTAATCTATTGAATGCAAGAAGATCAAGAATTCAGAGTGAAATTACTTCATCCTTGGCTATAGATGATCATCTGATTGCAACATCTTTAGTCCCCAGATCAAATACTTAGAACTTAGTTTTGTTTTGATGTGGAACCCTTCAGAATTTTATAGATTATAGTTAAATGATCGACTATACTTTAGATTGAAAATTGTATATTTTAGAATTAATTTTTGAAAGTATTTAGATGACAATTTGTATAATAAAGTAATATTCAAAATTTATTACCATATATTTCTATGGTTTGATCAAGATGTGTGGATATGAAATATTTGAAATCTTTCACAAATATTTAGTGAGGTAAAGAAAGAAAAATAGCAACGCATAGGACAGAGAAGTTTATTATCTCTAATAAATTATTTTTTATAAATAAAAATTTAGTCACCAAATAAAATATAATAAAAAAATCTAATCAGAATATTTTGACGATTTATAGCCATGAAATTATGGATTGGCAGCTAAATATAAATACTATAGCACAAATTTAATATGTGAGCACAACTACATATTTGAATTTTATGGCTAAATAAATAACATCTTTTGTCATGGTATGTCCCTATGTGGTTAAAGTAGAAGATAGCTATAAAATTTATTTATCGTGGCAAAAGAATGAAATCATTAACTATAAATATATATTCTTCGTGGCAAAATATTTTATTAATATAGCTATGTCACAAAAATTCTTGTAGCAATAAGTATTAATCCTTAGCCACAAAATGTTAAAGTTTGTAGCTAACTTTTATTTACGCTACTTCTAGCTACAGATGCTACGAAAAAAATTATTACAGCTAAAGTGTTTAGCCACATAAATTTTTGTGTTTAGCTACGACGTACTTCGTAGCTGTATATGCAAAATAGCACAGGTCCGTACTAGACCGTCATACACATGTACCAATAGGATTCTTTTACTTTATGAGCAAGGTACTATATTGGAGGTTTCTCTTCTTATATAAAGGGGACACCCATCATTTTGTAAAAATCTGATCATTCACAACAATAGAACATTTTTATTCTTTCACGTGCTTAGCAATTACTCTTCATCTTTATTGCCTTTGTTTTATTATTTATATCTTTTTAGTCTTAGCTGACCTCGAGGTCCCTGGACAGACGAACTCAAGGCCCTTACTGTTTCAGCAGCATTGATTTGGTTCATTATTTCTTCTCACTTAAGCTTAATATTACTTGTTTAATCGCTAGTATTAGAATATATCATGTATATTTAAAACTACAAATTATCTTTAATTGTTACTCACATTTTTTGAGGTAAACAGTTTGGTGCCTACCGTGGGGCTAAAGATAATAGTGATTATTTTAGTGCTAGTTTTCTGATAACACACGTTATTCAGCCCTCGAATAACCAAGGGTTTCGATAAAAGCAAAATACAAAGGGCTTCGATAAATTCAGCCTTCGAAAATTCCAAGGGTTTTGATAACATCGGCCCTTGGAAACACCTCAAGAGGTGTTTGATTATGTTTACACAAATAAATCATTAATAAGGTTTCGATATGTTGAACCTTTGAAAAACCTACGGGTGCAAAAAACACATGCTAAGGCATAATCAAATTTTCATCAAGTCTTTTAAGCCAAAATGAGGGAAAAATTATATAGCCTTTCTAAGTGGCCGAATCGGTCCAACTTAAAGAGCCTAAGGGTCGATAAATAAGAGTTTAAGGGCCGATATATAAGAGCCTAAGGGCCGGTAAATAAGAGCCTAAGGGACGATATATAAGAGCCTAAGGGCCGATAAATAAGAGCCTAAGGGCTGACATATATAAGAGCCTAAGGGCCGATATGTAAGAGCCTAAGGGCCAACCTCGAAAGGCTAAAGGGCCTAAAACTTATAGTTTGAAAACTCCACTTTTATTTCGATTCGGACTCGAGGTTCACAAAGTCCCGAGGCAACGACGAGTTGATTTAAACTCGGCTCAAAAAATTATTATAAAAATCTAAGGGTTTGTAATACCCTGAACCAACCCTCGAACCCGATCACTCAAATGAAGTTTTTCATAAATAAAGGCGATACTGAATACAAGCCATGTTAAAACCAACACTAGCCAAAAACGAGATAAAAGTCCTCCTCGCATTTCCAAAAGATGATATTTGCACAAGGAAGGCTTACAAAAAAAAATAAAGTAACCTAAAAACTACTTCGGGGTCACGCCCTTAGCAACTGCATCTTCTGGAGTTGCATCTTGGGGAGCCCCATCATCTGTGGCTTCATCCCCATCTCCTTCACCCTCGGAGGCACTAGCTGAATCATCCTCATCGGTAAGTAGAGCGTCTGCCTCTTCTTCCAAAGCCTTCTCCGCTTCAATATCGACCAAAAGGTCAAAGCTGCGGGCATGTATTTCCTCGAGCTTCAATATCGACCAATATCAACCAAAAGGTTGACTTCATTCACCACATGAGAAAATGTCTCCATATAATTAATACCAGGATATTTACGAAAATGTTGTGCCACAAGTCGTCTTTATGTCTATCAACTTGTTTTTTAATTTCACTTTTTGCACAATGGACTATCCGTCCAATTTCATATTTTTCAGGTGAAGTTAATTTTCATTGCGTATTTTTCATTTGGCCTATCATTTATCTGTCCAAATTCCATGACATATTTGAGCTCAAGATCCTCGTCAATATTAATAATATTGAGCGCTATATTATATCAACAATATTGTTAACGATCATTCTATATCGATTCTATCGTTACCCAATAAAGACATAACTTATTGAGTTTATCTCATTATTTTCAAGTACCTGAGCCTCTGTCATGAGGTCTTATGAAGTTATGTCGTGGTGCTCTTACAAAGCACTTGCCTCTTTATTATAACCATCTTGAACATTTGCTCCTCTCCTTCTTCAAGGAGTTTTATCTTTGGAACCAATTAGTCTATTACGCTTCATGCGTGTCATAAACTCTGTCCATCATGGACTTTATTCTGTTTTAAGCATTAACAGCTGAAATATGACATTTAGCTTTGGGTCAGCTGTCACGACCCGGATTTTCCACCCTCGGGAGTCGTGATGGCGCCTACTGGTGGAAGCTAGGCAAGCTAAATTATTCTAATTACTTAACCTTTTCCATCTTCAAACAACTATCAGTGATGAGTAGATATCATACAAATAGCGGTAATAATTAAGCGGAAGACAAAATCTGATAATTTAACTTAATACAAACTGCGGAAGTCTAAGTATAACTCTACCCAAAATTTGGTGTCACAATTTCACAGACTGTCTAAGAATACTACAAATAAAGTCTGAATAGAAATACACGAATCTGTGTCTGAATAAGTAAAAACAGAAAAGAAATGATAGAAGGACATCGAGGCCCGCGGACTACCTCGGGTCGCCTGTTAGACTGAAGGCAACAACCTCACTGTGGTCCAAATGCTCCGGTACCAGTGCAAAGTGTAATATCAGCACAACCAATCCCATGTGTTGGTATGTGCCTAGCCTAACCTCGGCGAAGTAGTGACAAGGCCAGGACAAGACTACCAAATAACCGGTGAAGTTAAATCATATACAACGGAAAAATAAAAGCAGATAATTACAGTTAAAGATGGGAGTGGAAAAACATGCTTCGGGGAGGAACAGATAACAACAGAATATCAAGAGGAATACAAATAAAGCAAAATCCAATTACTAACAAGGATAAAGAAAACAAATGCAGAATTCACTTTCATTTCACATCTTGTTGCAGGCATGCAACACGATCCCATTTCATATATCTTGTTGCAGGCGTGCAACCCGATCCCATTTCATATATCTCGTTAACCCGCTCCCATTTCATATATCTTGTTGCAGGCGTGCAACCCGCTCCCATTTCATATATCTTGTTGCAGGCGTGCAACCCGCTCCCATTTCATATATCTCGTTGCAGACGTGCAACCCTCTCCCATTTAATATATTTCTGTGGCAGCGTACCACCCGATCCCATTTACAAATCAACAATAATCACAAAAGAATCCCGGCAAGGGAACAAGAGTATAACAACAACATCCCGGCAAGGGAAACAATATTCGTAAACAATAACATCCCAGCAAGGGAGACAATGTCATAACAATAACATTCCATCAAGTGAGACAATATCATAAACAATAACATCCCGGCAAGGGAGACAACATCATAAACAATAACATCCCGGCAAGTGAACCAATAATGATAATCAACATTTTAAGTATGAATAAATCTCAACGGATTCACTATAATTACAACACTAGACCCACGGGCATGCTTGACACCGACGTATAGATACTCGCCACCATGCCTATATGTCGTACTCCACAATTAACACATAGCAAATAAGACAAAACTCATAATCCCTTAAGCTAAGGTTAGACCAAACACTTACATCGATGCCACGAACACAATTCAAGCCTCAACTACTACTTTACCTCTCGTTTCTACCGCCAATTCGCTTGTATCTAGCCACAAGTTACTTAATTATATCAATAAATGCTAAATGAATCAATTCTAACGCATGAAAATAAGTTTTTCAATATTTTCTCCAAAAAATAAAAAATCGACCTCGGGACCACATGGTCAAAACCCGAGGTTCGAACCAAAACTCAATTACCTATTCACCGACGAACCCAAATATATAATTTGTTTAGAAATCGGACCTCAAATCGAGGTCCAAATCCTCAAAATTTGAAAAACCTAGGTTCTATCCAAAACCCCCAAATTTCCCCATGAAAATCCTTGATTTTGAGTTGAAATCATGTGAAAAGATGTTAAAGATTGAAGAAAACGAGTTAGAAATAACTTACAATCAATTTGGAGAAGAATGTTTTTTTGAAAAATCGCCCAAGAGGGTTTATATTTTGAAAGAGTTTGAAAAATGGGAATTTTTCGGCTAAGTTAGGATTTAGCAGGTCGCAAATGTCACAATTACGAACCCTTTCAGGACCTACTATCCTCACATTTGCGATAGATGTTCGGAATTGCGAACTCGCATTTGCAAAGGGACTGTCGCATTTGCGACGACTGGGATTTTTGGGGTTTTTCGCATTTGCGAAGGGATGCTCGCAATTGCGAGTAAGGCTGGCCAGGGCTTACTTCACATTTGCGAAGAGCCCCTCGCAATTACCAAGTTCACAGACCTTGCAATTGCGAGATAAGGGCCTGC